TGGTATAATGTCTTATGATTCATAATGACATAAAAGGGGGCCTATCCACTACTCTGGGCACCTCAGACATTACTTAAACAAAGCAGTATCACCAACAACTCTAACTCTGGCAAAATCCTCCCCCACTGCAATCCAACTGCAAAGCCTTTCCCAACCGTTTTTCACCATCACCCTACAAGACTCTTCAGATGTCTGAATGAAAAGATGGGCAGGCCTTGGCTCACCTGAATGATTTTAGACCTAAATGCCATGCTTGTGACTAGCTATACCTCAGTCCCCTTCCTAGTTTCTCTGCGTGCATCCACACTGCAGCCAAGCATCTTGTTACCATTTCTAGGCTGGGATTCCATAATTTTCCTGCTGCTTAGTCTAGGTCCTGAGCTACAGTACCCTATGTGTCAGGCATTTTATTCAGTAGTTCCAGTTGAGTTCTGCTTCTTTTATTTTTTCCCTTTGGGGGTCTGTGGTGGTGCATACAGTCACTGAACGCACATTTAAAACAAATATTGCTTGCTTTGCTGAAGGAGTAAAGCATTAGGGAAAAGAACTTAAACCTAAGATCCTCAGATACCCCTCCATGAGTCCTTTGCTCCCCTTAGCAGCTGCCCTTCTCTTCTCCTTTGTAAACAAATTCATTCGATTTTCAGTAGGCACAAACTTTTTCTCTGGCATTGTCTCTTAACAATTCTCCAGTGGTTACAGAGAACTGACTTATCTTGAGCCATTATTTTCCATCCTATTTGTTCCTCCTTATAGTCCCTATTACAACCGATCAATATATTCATACAGTAAACACAGAATTAAAGAAAAAAATATGGCTGGAAGGGACCTCAAGAGGTCACATAGTCCAACTACCTGCTCCAGGCAGAAGCTTCCCTATTTACACCATCCCCAATAAATGTTCACCTTACCTATATCTAACACTTCCAATGATAAAAACTCCTTAGCGTCTCTCTCTGTCCCAATGCCTATCCAGCTTTATCATTAGAAAGTTCCCCTAATATCTAACCCAAATCTCCCTTGTTCCTATTTAAACCCATCACTTCTTGTCCAGCTTCCTGTTGGAACAGAGAACAGTTGGTTGCCATCTTTTGTATAAGAACCCATTTTGTATTTTGAAGATTTATCAGATCCCCCATCCTTTTTTTCTTCTCCGGACTAACTAATTCCAATTCTTTCAACCTTTACTTTTATGTTATATTTTCTATGCCTCTCATTATTTTTACTGTTCTGTCCTGGACTCTTTCCAATTTGTCCACATTTTCTTGAAGCGTGGTGTCCAGTATTGGGCTATTCCAGGTGTGGGCTATCCATTGCTGAAGTGAATGGAAAAATCACTTCCCAAGACTTTCATGTGACACTCTTGTTAATATGTCCCAGTATGCCACTAGTTTTGTTACAACATGATTACACTGTTAATTCATCAATAGTTTCTGGTCCACTATAACTTCCAGATCATTTTCTACATTACTGCAGCCTACCTAGCTGTTCCACTTTTTGTATTTGTGCATCTGATTGTTCCTTCTTAAATAAATTTCTTTGCATTTGCCCTGGGTGAAATTCATTCTTTTTATTTCAGACCATTTTCCAGTTCATCAAGGTCATTTTGAATCCTAATCCTGTTCTCTGAAGTGTCTTCCATTCTACCCAGTTTACTGTCATATGCAGATTTACTAAGTATACACTCAATTCCATCCTCCAAGGCATTAGTGAAGATATTAAACAATGCTGGATGCAGAACAGACCCCTACAGGATCTCACTTGGTGCTTCCTTCCAGATAGACATTGAGCTATTGAAGAATACTCTATGATCATAATAATCCAGGGGTATCAAACTCACATGGGGCTTCTTGAGGCCCTGACCCAGTAAGGAGCAGGGCTGCTGCATGGGCCACCATGATGGCAGTAGTGGTGAGGGGTCTGGACATAGAGGTGGTGGTGCAGGATCCATCCAATGGTGATGCCGGGTCCACCAGTAACAAGTGTGGGGTCCAGAGGCATGG